AGTACACAGTAAATGCTTTCCTTGCAGTCTGCAATGCACATGTCTTTCTTAGAACATAAGTTTTCTACAATTTTTTTTTTTTTTTTTACAATTGTATCTTTAAACATCACTTCTGTTTGAATTGTGTTGTTCTCTTCCTTAGGAGTAGCTATAAGTCTTACTTAGATTTCTCTTCTTTGCCTTCTGTTTTTGTGACTACTCCTCATTGTTTTTATCTGTCTCTTCTTTCTGGTGCATTGTAGGGGAGCTGATGATCTGTCCTTTCTACGTGAGAGACTGATTTTTCTGCAGTGTTAATTCTGCTGTGAACTGCCTCCAGTGTGGATGTTAGTACCAGGACCACATTTCCTGGCTCCTTGCTATATCCTTCCCTCTCTCCCTATGCAGGGATCTTTAGACTTTATACCACTGCCCTAGACTGAGAACTATCAAGAGGCTGAAATGATCCAAGTATTCTCATTTTAATGTATGATATAAATATTAGAGAGACCCCAGCAGAATTGGCTTTGGCTCCTGCCTATACCATTAACTAACTGTGTGGAATCTTAAAGCAGAAAATTTACTAAGTCTGGACTTCAGCTTCTTCATTTATAAAATAGATGTTACTAAAGCCACTTGGGTTCTGAGGATTAGAAAAAAATATGCTATGTGCCTGGCAGAGAGAAATTGCTGCATAAGTGGCAGTTATTCCCAGTGAATTGTGGATTCAACAAAGCCAGCGACCATGTGCCCCTGGCCTCCCCGACGTTAGCTCAGTTTACACCACCAGTGGGCTCTGTATCCTACCATTTCCTGGAGTTTCTAGGGTGATATTAAAGGGGAGGGGGAAACAAAGTGTGAGGGATGTCATGATGATCTATAGAAGACATTAGCTAGTCGATCTGCAGAGAACGGCTCACGCAGTTTGCATCTGAAGTGGCAGGGAGGTGGAGGTGTTTTCTCTGTTTTTAAAAAATTTTGTACCAGAGATTGAACTCAGGGGCACTCAGCCACTGAGCCACCTCCCCAGCTCTATTCTGTATTTTATTTAGAGACAGGGTCTCATTGAGTTGCTTAGTGCCTCACTTTTGCTAAGGCTGGCTTTGAACCTGTGATCCTCCTGTCTCAGCCTCCCCAGATGCTGGGATGACAGGTGTGAGCTGCTGGCCCAGCAGAAGGGTCATTTTCTAATGATTTTGACAAGGCCCAAGTTAGCAGGAGCCAGTGTTCACCCCCAAATTGGCCATTAACAAACTGACTCAGTTGCCCAGGGATTCCTAATCACAAACCTCTGAGTGTCTGTCTTCTTTTTGAGTAGGAGGCATTACTTTGGGACTTATTCTTCCTGTCTTCCAACAGGTCAGGCAGTACCAGGGCTAAGTCTAGTGACCAGAAATGGGGCAAGCCCCAGCACCTGTGTCTTTCAGAAGCAGCTCCGGCTTTTCTTCAGTTGAAAGGAAGTTCCTTTAGGTAGTCTTCCCACCTACCCAAGAGTTAAGATCCCAGTAATGCTCCCCAGCTCTAAGCCTCAAGAACCAGGCAAAATGGCCAATGTCTTTTCTTTGGGGGGCTATCCTAATGATGTGGCCGAGAGCTAGAGAGAACTTCCCTACGATTGCTGACAGCCCCACATGCTCAGGGTGGAGTTTTACACAGTTCCGTTTGAGGCTTGTAACTAGAAGAAAGAAATAGTTGTTAAATACAACTTTCCTTCAGTCTTTGGATTTGAGTGTCTTTCTGGATTTTTTTTTCTTTCATAATTTTAATTTTTAAAATCCTTTTCAAACAAGCTCTGACATCCTAGCAAGCCAGATGATGTTTATTATTGTTTTTAAACATGCCTGGAGGGAGGGTAGGTTTGTAAGGGGTTTAGAAGCTGCAGAAAGCCAGTGCCAAGGTAGAGGAGCTTCTTGGAGTGTACTTATCTTTTTTTTTTTTTTTTGAGCTGCTGGGGATTGAACCCAGGGCCTTGTGCATGAGAGGCAAACACTCTACCAACTGAGCTATGTCCCCAGCCCCTGGAGTGTACTTATCTTTGTTTGAGCTAAAGTGTCCGGCTGCCAGCTTGATGAGGAGTAAGGGCTACATCTAGTTCCCCCAATCACCCACACCAGGTGGAGGGACACTGGGTGAGCCCTGGGAAGAGGCCACCATGGGTGGCCGGGCCTCCCAGAATCTAGGCTGACAGTAAAGGAACACAGCCCGCCTCTCTCCCCAGAGTGTCCTCTGCCTTTCATGGCTGTGACCGTCCCCTGGCACCCTCCTTAACCCCTCTCCACCGTCCCTGTCTGCCTTCTTGTTAGAGTTGCCCATAAGCCAGAAACAGCCCAGGGGACCCTGGGTTTGATTCAAAGGCTCAGGAGAGCAAAGACATTTTGAAAGGCACCTCTGCCGACGGGAAGGAACATATTCTGTGTTGGAAAAACACACACACGCACACACACACACACTCACACACACACACGCACACTCACACACACACCACCCCAAACCCCCAACCAACTGGCACAGTCCCCACAGTTTTTGGCAGGAACAGCAAAGCCCTAAGCCCTGCCAGGAGAAACAGCTTTGAATTAAAATACAAAGGTAATCAGAATATGGATCACACAAAGCTGCCAGGTATTTGATGTGTGTTGGGAATAAAACACACCTACCCCACTAAAGAGCAGCCCAAGGTCACTATCTCTAATCAGCACCTCTCAGATCAAGTCTTTTTTTTAAAAAACAGAAGTATTCCCACCTGCTCTCCCCTCTGACTCAAGACCATCTTCAAATTTCACCTCTTGGAATCCTGCATGAGAGTTTCAGTCCCAAGTGGAGCAGAGATTAGTGCAGATAGACGGAGGTGCAGGGGTTTGGCTACTCAACTGTCTGGAGGCGTATTAACAAGTTTCATTCCTCTCTAGGTTTCTCAGGTGGGGCCGAGGTGCAGGTAAAGGTGGGATGGGCTCCGGATTTGCCCCAGGCCAAAGCTCCTCCCTGAGGAGCTTCAAGCCCATCTGGAGCTTGCCATGGGACGCCCACAGGGAGCCCTGGAGGCAGCTGGTTTGTGGTGGGGAAATTCCTCCAAGTTTCTGAGCCTCAGTTTTCTGCCCCTGGAAAATGGAAGTAGTTATCTCCCTTACCTTAGAAAGTTGGTACGATGAACAGAAGGTTCCTGGATGAGCTTCTTGCTTCAGAAACACCAAATGCATCCAAACTGCCCGGGGGCGGGGTGGGGGGGGAACATCAGCTCCAAATCACCCCATGTGGAAGTCGAGGTAGAAAGGATCCATTATGGTTTACATTTACATTAACTTTTCTTCACACACATGGATACAGTTTTCACAATGACAAAAACAAAGGACCACAGCCTACATGATGTTCTCATCATCCCCAATGCATGGCCCATAATGTCTTATTATAGCCAAGAAGTGTGGGCATCATGAAAAGCTTAGCAGACAGATCTGCAGTTGTAAACAAGGGGTGTGTGTTGAGTATGAGACCTAAATATCTGCTGTGTGCCTACCAAATCCGATTGCTTCATCCCTATGGACTCACCAAACTTTACAATTGGATGATATACAGATATGGGAGACGTTGAGTGACTCGCTTAAGATCATGTAAGTTGCAAGTGGAAGAGCTGGTCTTTGAGTCCTGGTTATCTAGCTGGAGAAGCCAGGATATTAGCTGCCACACTGCACTGAATCCTGGTAAGAGTAGATAAAATTAGATAACAGAGGGTTTTTCCTGAAACAAAAATTAGTAGTTAGGTTATGTGCAGCTAGGTGCAAGTCTTTCATCTCTGATGTATGGAAACAGTAAAGTTGACCACATTTATGAATACAAGGGGGCAGGGCTGGAGAGTAGAAGGTTGGAGGGAAAACAGCACAAGGAGGTCCAGGTGTCACCCAAAGGCAGTGGTGTTGGTAAATACTTAACAACTGGCTGAGACTGTCATGGAGGGAGGAGCTGGGAAGAGGTATCTATTGGCTCTCACATGGTGCATGGGTACTGTTGCTTGGAGGAGACCCCAAGTGCATCGAGACCCCAGCTCAGCAACATGCTGGGCTGGTTACCAGGCAATTGACAGGAAGCAGGAACACTGGAGAGGCAGAGTTGGAAGGGGCCTTCGACCCAGTGCCTCCTGGTCCTGCAGGCCAGTTTCTTGACTGCTTCCCTTTGTTGTGTAAGTTTAAATTCCTGTCTCCTGCTCATGCTCCAGTGGGGCCTTCTCCAGCCTTCTTGATCCATGCCTTAGGCAGGCCATGTGGATAGATCATGTACACAGATTCTTTGGTGGGCCTCTCCTTTTATAAAAACCACACTACCTAGCTGAGCTTTTAAAATTGAATATATTTTCTCTTCAGCCATCCTCAGAAACTTTTAAAGCCTAATTCATGAGCACTGTCCTGGGCGTCTGCAACATACAGTGTAGTCAAGGATGAAAGTTTGTTTAGCCCACAGAGTGCAGCCTAGTCTGCACCACCCGAGGCGCTTAAACTTGCCTAATTCCATGACCAAGTATTTGATCACTGCTACCATCTTGCTGGATATGGTAGAATATGGTCAAGGTCCATCAGCTCCCATCTGGCAGGACCACTGCTGAGACAGGTCAGATGTGTGTGCCCTGAAGTCTCTGGTATCACCACAGTGTGTGAAAATACTCAGGGTAGAAAGGGGCCTTAGAAATAATTTCTCAGTTTCCTCTAACTCAAAAGGGCAAGTAAAACATATACAGAATCCAGGCTTTTCAATATATCCTCTTCTCTCTCTAGTCTGGTTGTTCCCAGGGGACATTTGACAATGAGTGGAGACACTCTGATTGTCTAAACTGGATGGGAAATATTGGTGGCATCTAGTGGGTAGAATCAGGTAGGGACACTGCCTAATATCCTACAATGCACAAAACCTCCTCCCAACCTAGAAAAGAGTTCTGCAGCCCCAAATATCGGTAGTACCAAGGTTGAGAAGCCCTGATCTACATGTACAATGTTTCCGCAAAACTAGACATGGTATTCTTACTCTAAGGAAAAAAAAAATCAAATCCACAAGTTGTGTTTTATTAGCTGTTCAATGCCACCTTCCATTCATATCTTGTGTTTTCATGAAATTTTATGAACTACCAGTACAAATCAATACAATTTTTTTTTAAACACACTAACAGCTTGAATGTTCTTGAAGCCTTTAAACAATGAGTTTACTGTGGGCAAACAGAAGGCAAGGAATCAGAGAGATAATTAGCTCATGCATCTGGTGCTGGCTAATAAATAAATAATTCTCACATGGATGTAGAAACCACTCAATGTTAACTGTATTTATTTTTTAAAAATGGTTTGAAACTGTAATCAAATGCAATTTCCAGAAGCATCTTGGTGATTGGGTAGAACTGCTTAATTTTAAAAATAATTAAGTGACTTCCACCTAGCCCCGGAGTAGTGAGTGAACATGTAGCAAAAACTTCCATCTCGCTGGGTTCTGGCAGATGGATTGATCTTTCACAAAATATATATTTCTGTATTTCTTCTTATGGAATCCAGAAACCAGGAAAAGCACCCTGCTTTGAAAAGAGATTGTTTGGTTCACAACTTTGGTTTATTGAAACAGGTAAGAAAGTGGTCCCCATTTCCCCTGAGGAGGAAATGTGTCCTCTGACTTTTAGATATCCCAAGATATCATGAGTCTCAGTGAGTTTCCTTTTCCATTATGGTGAAAGTGTCCTTCAGTTTTCCTCCAGTGTTCAGTTGCTCCTCTTAGGATATACTCTTCTGATAAAATTTATGCCTCTTTCTCTCAGTAGCCCCAGACCAGGCCTTCCCAATGTCTCAAGGCCTGCCGCCCCATGCCCGACAGGACCCGCATCTGAAGTCCCTGGATGTGTTGTCAATCTCTGAACTGAAAAGTTCTCCTAATGCATCTCAAAATATCTTCTCGAAAACGTAACATATGCTACCTTGTGCTTCCTTAGTAAGGCTTGCAAGTCGGTAATTAAATTAGCAGAGTATAACTTGCAAGCAAAAAAAAAAAAAGTGCATTTGTAAATAAAAAATAAACAGAAATGGTTAAAAGGACATCCAAAAGATTATTTGGGGTTACTCTTGAGGGGGATTGATATGATATTTATGGTTTCTCCTCTGGTTCCTTTGATCTTGCTCACTGTTCGCATAAGGGAGAGCAGAGATCCACATTTCACAAGGTCTCCTCTGCTGCCTTCCAATATTCCAGCCTCCCTAAAAACTAGAGCCTGACTGGTGTAATCATTCATACGAGGAGAAATGTGCCTGTCTTTCATTCTAATAAACTTTTCTACAAAAGTGGGCTTCATTCCTGAATATTTCAATGAGCAGAGAAAACAACAGATCTCATTTTGTTGTAAACATCATCAGAACCTCCACACCAGCAGGCTTCTCTTCTCGTAACCATTCTGCCTTTGTCAGACACTTCTCGGGGTGCATCTGGGCTACATTTGCAGGCAAAGTAGTGATTGGAATTCCTGTTGCATAAAGCCAAAGAGAGAAATGAAAGGCTTTCTCCTCCGGTCTCTTTTGCTCATCAGATTCTTTCTTTCATCCTTTATGGAAGTCTCTTCCTTGTGCAGCCACTCTTTGGGGGGAATTGCAAAAGGAGAAAAGAAAATGTCGCCCACCATCCATCCCCGGAGGAGCTCAAGTCTTTTTGCTGCTTGTCTTCTGTTTGCGAAGGTGAGCCTCTATCTCATGCCGGAAGACCAACATCCCCAGCTGCCCGTGCGACGCCTCGTTCATGGCCTTGGACTGCATGCACATCTTGTACTGCTCGGGGGTCAGCTCGTCCATACAGCGCTTCTCGTGCCAGAGGTGGAAGAGTCCCCGCACGGGCGTCCGCACCACTATGAGGTTGCTGTGGAGATACTTCCGGTACAGGTGCACGTCCTCTCCACCCCAGCCTTTGATGTCCAAATCAAATCCACCTGTGGGGAGAGAACACTCTGTTCAGGCATGGGCTGTTCTGATCTATCCCGGCTTCCCTGAGGGGCACAGCCACAGAACTTTGCAAGAAGAGGGGTGTGCTTCACTGCCCCTCCAAGTTACCAGAGCACCCATCTGCATCAGAGGCCCTGGAAATGCCCAACAGGGAGATGACCTTCATGGCAGACAGCACCAAGCTCTAGAGATAACAAGACCTGCAGCAGAATCTCGAGCATCTGTCGGCTTGGAAGAGCCGTCAGCAATACTGATGAGCAGCCAGGATGAAGTGCTTCGGCTTTCCAACTAGAAACTCCCCTGCCCACACAGGCAAGAAAGCCTCACCTTTCTTAACCTATGACCCGCCCCCCATCCCAAGCAGGAAGCACTGGCCTTCTGTCATGGTTCTTGTCTCACCTGAGAGATTTACTCACCTCAACTCTCACAGCAGAGACGGGATCTCAACATCCCTTGTCAGACATTCTCTGAGCCTCTTTATGTCCTGCTCAGGGCCATTGCTGGAACCCCAAGGTGGGGCTCAGGCATCGGATGGGGAGGGTAGGGAGCCACAACCAACCAACCCCTGGCTGTGTTTACGAGTGACTGTGACCCCTCAGTGGGCACAGGCAAAGGAAGGGGACCAATGATGAGTCAGGGGGTCAGAATTTGTGTGCTGATTCTCTTGGAAGCTGCCACTTACCCTCTCGAATTTTAGATTTTTTTTTATCCTTAAATGAAATAAATATCATAACCAAATAAGCTAGCAATGTAAGGGGCTGGTAGCTACAATTGATTTATTACTATTACTATTATTACTTGTTAAATACCAGGTGCAAAAAAAAGACACGGGCAAGTGCAGGAAGCCATCTGTGAAAAACACCTGGGATCTTCTCTCGGCCTGTGACCAGGGAGATTTTAGTCTTAACCTTGGGAACTATCTGTGGCATTCACTCCCACGCAATAGATTGCCCAAGGCACATGACCCTTATCTTCACTGTGCTAGGAAGACCTCTCATGGTCGCTCTGGGGATGGGCGTGGGGAACTGGACAGCCCACTGTTAGCCATTTTTGGAGAAGAACGTTCTATGGAAGGACTTTGATGTCCCCTGATATAAATAAAGCAGGTGTGGGCTCCATTTTGCCATAGTATATATCATCGATCCCTATGATCCGCAAGTCGGTCCTGTCCTGCCCCTAACTTTTTGAAATTATTTTCTGTGTCCTGGGGTTTTCTCTTCGTTCTATGTTTCCTAGGTTCTATTTCTCATCCGGCCCATTCCACTGAGGGGAGCCCCATTCCCGCTGCCCACGCAGGACGTGGGCAGGATGCAAGTAAGTACAAGCTTGCAAGGAATGGGGTCTCACCAGGTCCCACAGGCTCTGAGGTTCCAGGGGAGGCTTCCGGAGGGACAGCACCCTCCCCAGCCTGCTGTGCTTCCTGTTTTTCAAGCACAGTGATGCCCATCTTTAGGAGAATCCAAAATGATAAACATACACTGAGTCCAAACATGAAAGATCCAAGAGGAGAATGCAATCTGATAAACATATTGATACGAAGCCAAAATAGATACACACGTGCGTCCACACAATCATCTCTGTATACAGTGCGAGGAAACAGAGTTCCTTGGAACGGAAATCTTCAGCTACAATCCAGAAATATCATTTTGGGGGATCTGAATGAACATAATCATAAAGACACCAAAGAACACCTGTTGTCAGTTGCTGAGTATCCTCAGCAGCTGCCACTCAGGGACCAGCACCTCTTAGGGGATGTGACTTCAGATGGTTTGGTTTTACCACTTTTTTTTTTTTTTTTTTTGTAATGCTAAGGGAGGGAACTCAGGGCCTGTGCATGCTGGGCAAGTGCTCTACCACTGAGCCACCCCCAGCCCTTCTTTTAAACCTGATGGTTTCTCTGGGGTTCCACGGTCCCTGTGGCCTATCAGAATCTGCTCTGAACAAGACAAACCTACAAAACAGGGGCTGCTCCTGTACTTTGGTTTTAAAACAAGAAGCTCTACGGTTTGGGCCTGGGAGGGAGGAGACTGGGAGGGGGAAAGACAGAGCTCAGGGGAGGACTGGGGGAAGGAGCCCAGGGCGAGTTTCTGGCCTAGTCATCTGTAACCCACATTCCAGTCCCTCCAGAGGCACATGGGAAAGCACCACTAAGCGGAGGGGGGAGGTATTTCCAAGGGGGACAGGAGACTCTGTGTCCTCATCCCAGCCACATAACCACAGTGAAACCCCAGGAAGTCCCCTTGCCTCTGGGAACTCTGGTCGGCACAGCTGGAACCTGAGTGCCTTTCCTCTCTGTGCTCTGGAATCCCACGGGCAAGTGCATATGAGTGTGTGTGTGTGTGTGTGTGTGTGTGTGTGTGTGTGTACTGTACACATGTGTATGAGCATCTGTGAGTGTGACTATGGGCTTGTGAGTCATGTGTGCAAGTGGACAGCAGCTACACACTCTGTCAGGGTTTGAAGTGACATCTGACATCCCTAAGAGTTCAGCAGAGAGAAACCTGGGTCCCTTCTCGCAGGATTTTCCTAACTTTCTGGTTTCCCTTCCGCCCTTACTGTAGGCTCAGGAAGTCTGTAGGAGAGGTGGGGCACTGCAGCCAGAGGCCATGTGGGAGGGGGTGTGGGACAGCCTGCCCCAGTGCTTGTTCTATGCCACAAGGACAGACAGCCAAGGTGCTGTAGAGACTAAGGGGCCAACGCCTGTCCACCCTCAAGCCCGACTTAGGCTAGCGGGAGAGGATGTGGAGAAAACCACACCACTCTTCACCACCAGCTCCTAGGCTCCCAGACACCGGCGGTTCCCTAAGGCCTGTGCGGGCAGTGGCCTCCGGGTGGCAGCAGAGACGCAGCTTTGCCTCACCTATGTTGATGAAGTCTGACCGATACTGACAAGTCATCCCAAATCCGAAGTCTCTCCAAAATCCAGTTTCCTTCTTTATGACCTATAAGGAGAGCACTGTCAGATACGGCCCGGAAAAACAGTCTTCGCACGCTCCTGTGAGCAGTGCTAAAGAGGGGGCCCACCCCACCGCCCATAAACAGCCCCGGCCCCAGGGGAGACAGATGGATTTGATCCTCACAGACAGGAATACAGGAAGCTCACCAGTTCCAAAAAACCGGGCCTTGTGATTTTTGGCACCTCTGGGTGGAATGTTTCTAGGGTGTAGGCATGAAAACACACACACACACACACACACACACACGCGCAGGAGAGCAAGTTTTTGAGCAGTGCCATGGAAAAGCCACCTACGTGTCTGGCCCCATCCCAGGGCCAGAGAGAAGTTGAGGCCTGGGCCTCTCACACAGGCCCCGGGCAGGGAGCCAGCAAAGGGCTCAGAAAGTTGAGGAAAGGGATGGAGAGAACAAGTCGGGATTCAGCCGTCCTGGCGCAGCCCACAAACACCACTCCCTCTGGGAATAAAAAGAAACTCCGCTCTGTTCCAGGCTCCCCAGCTCCGAAACCTCTCTCTCGCTGAGGAAAAGGGCGCTCAGAGGCCAGGTCCTGCAGGAAGACGCTGCCCACTCATCCAGGCTGCTCCAGGAAGGCCACCCGGAGGTGCCAGCCTACAGGGCGGCCCAGAGGCCATCCAAGCTGCGACTGTCTAAAAAAAGTGAGACCCGGCTCTGCTCAGTCTCTTACTTTGCAAGTAAATTTCCAGGAGATTTGCTGAGGCAGCAAAACGTTTTGAAAAATTTATACACACACACACACACATATATATATATATATAATTTTTTGAGATCTTTTTAAGATTTTTTTTAGTTGTAGATGGACACAATACCTTTATTTAATTTATTTATTATTTTTATGTGGTGCTGAGACTCGAACCCAGCACCTCACACGAGCCAGGCAAGCGCTCTACCGCTAGCCACCACCCCAGCCCCTGTTTTTGAGACCTTCAGAGTTAATTTTTATGATTTGCTTTTGCAGGTCACATAGGTACTTAAGAGGATAGCAGTCCCCTCCCCAAGCCCAAGAGGCAGCAGGTCCCCTTTGGGACCCGTGACTGTGTGGCCACTAAATAGAAACAGTAAGTGAATGGGGAGGAGTGGCAGGGACTTGTCCCAACTTGACCACGGGACAGCCACTTCAGCTCAGGCAGGTCCCTTCATTTCTTTGGGCCTCTATTTTCTTTTCGATAAGATGACGGTGTTGAACTAGTCACCCCTAAGGATTCTTCCAGCTCTCACATCCAAACCTGATTCTCATCACTGTTCGCCCATCTTCCGGAAGCTTCCCAGAGCCTAGATTATATTTGACAAATGGTTTTTAAAGGGATTCGTCACATCTTAAAATTCTTTCCCTTGGAACCCAGGAGGCCATCTTATTTGCACGGGGCCCCACTTGCAGGGGTCGTCCACTCCACTGCGACACGTCACAACTGCCTGGGGGAGAGGGGACCTAGAGAGGTTCTTGGGTGACAGCTGCCCTCGTTAGATGTTCTTCCAAACCACCTCAGGACCAAGGGCTGCCGTGAAACACCTCCGGACAACAAGGACATTTTATTAACATCAGCTGGAAAGATTCTTTTTTTTTTTCGAGGCAGGAAATTCTGGAAAATTCTCCTCTAGGTCATTTTATAAAACGGCCTTTTGCTCCTTCCCTGACCCCCCACGTAGAGGCCCCTCTGCTGGCCAGGATGCAGACCGTCCTCTAAGTTTCTGGGTAGGAGTGCAGTTGCAGAGCGGAGCCAGCGTCCACACTTCACACACTTTGCTGAGGTCTACGTGGGATTTAAAAGAAAACGCTCCCGATGGGGAAGCAGCCGGGCAGGACTTGGGAAGAACAGGACAGCTCCCAAGAGGTGGCTGTCCCGGGACGGGGTCCACGTAGTGCCCGACAAGGTGGAGCAAGGTGAAGGGCGCCCTTCACCTGGGGACGGCATGATGGGGACAAGCTGATTTACGACCAGGGGAGAGAGCTGCAGAAACAGTCATTGAGGTCGGCAAGCCACAGAAAGCCACCAAGTGAGGAGCTCAGTGAAGTGCAGCCCTTTGTGGAGACGACTTGGTTGTGCCCACAGCACATAATTCCAGGGCAAGATGGAGCTCACTCATTAGAGGTTCCCCCAGGCCAGCGGGCTGCAGCAGGGACTGGAAGGGAGCCCTCAAGAGCAGCCTGGGGGAGGGAGCGAGTGCTCTCCAACACCAGTCCAATCCCATCACGCTCCCAGCAAAAACCCTGTAGTGTCTCCCCAAAGCAATCCCAAGAGAATCCATGGGAAACCTCTGTCCCTCCACTACCTGGCCTCCCCTGCCTCATCTCTGCCTCTCTTCCCATCTCCCCGGTACACAGTCCTACATCCTGCTGCCCAAACATGGATGTCTCAGGCATCCAAGGCTGGGAAACTATCGTCTTCAACCTGGTCACCCTGCCCTGCTCACCCCTGGACTCTGCTCCTATCCCATTGCTCAGAGCGGCTTCCTGACCCTCCTGACTAGTGGAACAGAATGGTGGTGCTTCTTACACCCGAGGAGCCATCGTTTCTTATTAGGACCAAAACCCAAGGTAGCATCAGCATCTTTCTCCAGGACACCTGCCACCCCGTCACACTCCGTGCCGTCACCCTGGCTCATCTTCTCCATAACACGCCTGGCTCTCTGACGTGGTCTGCTGTCACGTTCATGCCTCCGTTTGCTGACAGTCGTCACCCACCACCCTGGGTGAACAAAAGTCAGGGCCTTGGTCTCATTCAGGGCTATATCTCTAACACCCAGACACTGTCCAGCACACAGCAGGCACTTAATAGATGCTCATGAGTAAGAGGGGCACAGTCCTAGGGCAGAGACAGTTCCCAGCAGCCAATGGAAACAGACACACTCCAGGTGGCAGATACTTGTCAGCAAGTGACTCAGCAAAGGCCTAGGAAGTCCAGTGGTGATGTCAGAACCCTGTGACCCAAATGGAATATCACTCAGCCATAAAGAAGAATGAAGTTATGGCATTTGCCAGTAAATTAGGCTACCACGCTAAGTGAAATAAGCCAATCCCCCCAAACCAAAGGCCAAATATTCTCTTTGTAATGCAGATGCTAACCCACAATAAGGGCAGGGGTGGGAGGAGGGAAGAATGTAAGTTTTCATTGGATTAAATAAAGGGAGGGGAGGAGGATGGGAATAGGAAAGACAGGAGAACGAATCAGACATGACTTTTCTAAGTTCATATGTGAACACACCCCCCAGTGAAACTGCACACCATGTCCAACCACAAGAATGGGAAGTTATACTCCATGCATGTATAATATGTCAAAATACATTCTACTGCCATGCATGATTAAAAAAAGGAAAATTAAAGAAAAAAGAATCCTGTGATCAACAGATAAAAGTGTCTTCCCCTTCCTGGGACTCACAGCAGAGGGCTTGACTGACTTCTCAAAAGCTCTCAGACATATGCATCCCTGGTGTCTACTGCCCCGGGGGTGGTGGTGAGAAGCCTCTCTTGCATTTCACCATCTGTCCACGCAGCCACCTTTGTTTAACAATGTCTCTCCACAGCTGGCCTCTCATCTCTCCCTGCAGTGCCACCTGTCCCCCCTGAGGGCAGGCTCAGCACCGCAGGCCAACACACCACGCCAGGATGTGGTTAGGCCTGCTCACCCGCAGGAAATTCCCAGAGCCACTGCTCTGTGGGCGAGCCACGTGATGGGGTGATTATTTTCTATTAGGACCCAAACACAAAGCAGGAATCAGCATCTCTCCCCAGGCTGTGGAAGGCGGGCACCCCACCCCGCAGCTGCATGGGCGCCCGCCGGCAGGCAGCGCCTGTCTGGCTCATGGTGCTGCCTTGGACCTCTGCCCACGAAGCAATCTGGACCCAAACATAAAATAAATAACAGAGACTCAGGCAGAGTAGCTCCTTCAAATCAAAGAGAGTCTCCCAAGAACCGAAGCTGGTCGCCCAGCCTGGCACTCACCAGGAATGCCTATGGGCAGAATGATGGGCCTGTGAACCGCAGGGCCCCACACCTGGAAGACCGCGTGCTTGCTGTCGCCATCTTAAGATCCCCGATGCTTTTGGACCTGTGCCTGCATTTTCATTTTGCTGCTACTTAGGTAGCAGGTCCTTCTCGGTGAGCACGAGACACCCTGAATGGCAGCGGCTTCTAGGACGGGGTTGGATACCCCACCACATATACCCCTTGTGCTGTGTATTCCTTTATTATTTGGGGCCCAGAGATCAAATTGCAAAAGATTCCAGGAATGTCCTCTTTTTTGTGGCCTCTGTGTATGGAGGTAGAATGCTGTGGCCAAGTTCACTGAGCCTGCGGTGGGCAAGCCCAGAGCCGCGCTAGGATTGCTGGGACAATCCCAGTTCCATTGCTGGAGCAATAAGGTATTCTGGAGCCACCACTTTCAAAAGATTCACTTAAGAATGGGCTCCCGTGCCATCTCCTCCCAGGTCTGCGCTCATTCCCATTTTCCCACAAGCCTTCTTTAATCAGCATCTGTCCTCCCCCAACCCCTCACCGAACTGCCTCTTCCCAGGCCACGTTCTGCCCAGGGATCACCCCGGTTCTCTCAGCTCCAGAACAGGGCTCTTTCTTCTCCTGAAGCACTTTGAGGCCAAAGGATGTGTGTGTGCCCTGCCACTGGCACTCCCAACCCAAGGTGGCACTTGAGTTTCTGCGTTTGTCACTCAGCAGCTGTGGGAGTCTGAGCACGTGTCTTAAGCTCCCTGAGCCTCAAATTCCTCGTCTGCAAAGTGAGAGTCATCCTTCTGGAGCATCCCATGAGCTGATCCGGGCACAGCATGGACTTGTGAAATGGCGTCCGCTAATTATTTTTGTTAACTCCATGAATGTGTATTTCCCTAATAAATAAAAACAGACTGCAAGGACGCACTCCATGTGCTGTGCTCAGCAGGCAATTTTTTTAAAAGCTAAAGTGTGGGTCTGCATAAAACACTTTTTGAAAGGAGTTAGAGAGGTAGGGGTGTCATCTGAGGGAGTGTGGGGACAGGAGCCAGCCTCCTTCCTGTGCTGAACAGAATGGTACAAAGTCCCTGCATTTAAAATTTGGGAGTGGCTGCACAGCAGGCAGAGAAGCTGCATCTGACACCGAGGACGTGAGAAACGGTGAGCAGTTGTGCCCCTGGCAGCGTGTCGGCCTGGGTGTTTCTCTTGCTGGTACCAAGTGCCTGATGGCAGGGTTACAGACACACTCTCTGTCATCAGGTTAGAGTCAGTTTGTGGAGGACAATTAATCCCCAGAGGGGGTCAGGCTTGTAGTGTGCTAGAGCCACTAGGACCAGCTCCCAAGGACTGTGCCTGTCCCTTCGCAGATCTCTGTTCATGTGACATCACGTTGGTACCCCGAAATAGGCCGCAGTGGGAGTATTTACACATTGGAAATTGGCACACGCCATCACCAGGGCCTTTTCCCCCCCTTTTCAGAGAGTGGGTTGTTAAACATTTACCAGCACACCACTGGCTTCATGCCATGGAAGACTTTTTTTTTTTTTTTTTAAGAAAAAAAATGGAATTAATCTGTGTTTTTGAAACACATCCCCGGCAGAGGGTGAAGAAAAGACTAGAGAGTAGGGGAGGGTCGGGATCTAAAGATAGAAGTGGTAGGAGGCTCCTGCAGGAACCTAGGCAAGAAGTAGCAAAGCTCGAGCCAGCAAAGTGGAATGTCTCAAGTGAACATTTATTTAAACGATAGTCATCCCTTTCTCAGCGAGGTGTTTCTACAGGAAAGCATCAGCCCGTTTCATCTCGCGGCCGAAAACCCCCCAAATTAAATATTAGTATAAAGTCCCATGATGTCACTTATTACTTATTCGTGATGGCCTGTGCTCAAAGGTGAAGAAACAAGTCGTCTAGCACACACGCACCCTCACACATTCAGTTCCTTGCTTTTATCTGCAAGCAAAATAGAAAACGACAGTGGCAACAGCCGTGAGGAGTAATAACGGACACATTGACAAACGAGGTCATATTTTCAGGGCTGCTGGGAAAGGTTGACTTGTTTGCATAAGTAACTTTCATTACAGCTGCATTCTGGACCTATGTCCCCCCTGGCCTGTGATACCGAGGCATTCCAAGGAAGGCTATCAAGATTTGTTAATGGATGTGCAACCACTTCTTCCTAGACTGAGCCTAAACGTACCCCCAGGAGGAGGTCTTTCCTAATTTATCTATCTCCAGTCATTACTTTTTATTTTATACCTTCTCACCACCCACACACTCCATCTCCATTATATTGATTTCCCCCAATTTGATGTTTGCCTTGGGGATTTTTGTCAGCAGCCTATTGCTTTCACACTTCGGCTCTCATCCTGAACCTCAGCAAATCCATTTCCAATGCACTGGAGGAAGGAAATCCTGGCCTGGGGCTCAGCTCTGTCACTAGCAGCTGGGCAATCTTGGATCAGTCATTCCACCTCTGCACGAGGAGGAGCCGGGCGAGATCTCTCATAAACAATTCGGAATACAGGGACTTGCTGCAGTCCTTCTGACTCACCTGGGCCAAGCCCTTGGGCAGCAGCAGGTACTGGACTTGGCATGTCCAGTAAAGAAGGTGACTTAATTTTTATTTTGGTGGATGGGGAACTTTTGGAGTGTCCTTTTTCCTCAGATTAAATAATCACAAATATTAAACTCCAAAATAGCAGAGTCATGTGCTCTGGGAGAGGTCAAAATGTTTCTGTAAGTAAACATCAAAGGCTTCAGGATATTCCAGCGCTTCTAGTGGTGGACTCAGGAAATCTGGCTGTTTCTGTCTTGACTACTGCGTCTGAGGTTCTGGGAGAACAGCTTAACTGTGCTGACTGTAACATCCCTCTGTACCTGCTTCTCTGTTGGAATAATAATACAAGGATAAAACCTTTGAATTTCAAAATGAGCAGAACTCCTTTGCAAGCAAATAAGGTCTTTATGAGTTTGACCTAACGAATTAATCACATTTGAAACCAAAGGAACTTTTATTCTGATTGGCTGAAAGAAACTCTGCGCCCTACTTTTCCCTTAAACCTTATTAGAAGGTTAAGACTCTTCAGGACAGAAAATGAGAAGTTTGTCTTGTTGGGGGCAGATTTCACTTGTAAGCAGATGAGAACTGGCTCTTGGGGAGTAAAAATGTATAGTTTGTTTGTATAAAGACATACAATGGTGCTAAAGTTTCATGGGGTACTCTCTCTCTCTTAGTGTGTCTCCTGGCTTGAATCCACGGAAACCACACTAGGACATGGGTGAGAAATCTGTGTCTAGCCTGAAGATCCTCAAAGCTGCCACATTTTGGAAATGATCATATACCATCAGCTGCCAGAGGTTAACTGGGGAGGGAGGGAGGGAGGGTGGGTGAAGGGCACAGGATGGGCCTGGAGACAACAGATTTGCAACTTGCAGAAACTAAACACAGAGGTAGTCCCCAACAGAATTTCACCGCATGCATGTTTTCTATGGAAATTCATTCACTTGCCCCTTGCATAGGGGCAGGAGAGACTCTGTCACGTTCATGAACCAGATTTCCTTCCTTCCCCCTCAAGGTTACTCAATGGGAAGAAACTTGCTTTGTCCCAACAGGAGGCGGATCTACGTAGGGCAAAGGAGAACAGAACACCCCCTGGTCGGAGCAGCCCAAAGATTCAGCCCCAACTCAAATGCAGCTGAGGACAAGATAGCTCACCTCTCTGAAGGGAGGATGAACAAGAGTACAAAAGCTAACCACTCCACTTCTTTTAGTGGGTTCCATGCCAGAGCCAATACTAGTCCAAAAACATGAAATGGAAGATTCTAGAAATAAATATGTTTATTATAGTATATTGTCATAATTATTCTATTGCTAATTAATTAATCTCTCACTATGATTTATAAATCAAACTTTATCTTAGGTGTGTATCTATAGGGGAAAACAATCTGTGTAGGGTCTGGTACTACCCATGGTTTCGGGCATCCACTGGGGGTTTTGGAACATGTCCCATGGATCAGAGGAGACTAAAGTAACAGAAATGCATTCTTGGAGGGGCAGCCTAGGCTCAGTGGAGGTCTTCTTCCTGTTTGCCCCCGCCCCCACCCCATGCCTGTGCTGGTTTTCTGCCGAAGGGACCAGCAGTCTGTCATGACATCTGGCTTCGAGAGTCACTGGCCATGTGGTTCCACGGCCCATCACCTGTGTAGCTGCGATCTTAGCAGAGAGGTCTCTCCACTACTCCTTCAAAAGCCCCCTTGCCAGTGACACCTCTGATGCCAGTGTCCACCCAGGCCCGCTGGTATGTGGGAATTGTCCTGCCGTGAGAAAGACCCAGGACTGGGGACCTGGCTCAGCCCTCGTTCCCCACCGGCTAGCCCTGTGCCCCGCGGTGAGCCGCCTCTTTCCAGTGTCTGTTTTCCACCTGAACAATGGAAACATTAATCTCACCTTTCCTATGTGGCAAGATTTTATAATAATAAAGAGAAAGTATGCTTCAGTCACCACGCAATAACACTCGTTCCCCAAGAACCATAGAAGAAAACTAGGAAGGTGTGAAATTACCCTCCTGTAAGGTACCGTTCCTATTTATTTTCCACTTTTAAATACTGCAAACACTTTCAATCCACAAGGCGCTGGGAGCAAAGGCCAGAACATCTGCTCAACTTACAAAACTACTGAGGGAATCCATCCACAGATCCCCACTAACCTTCCCTCACAGTCAGGCACCCCTGGTAATGAAAGCCACAAAGCAGCCGCACAAACGGGTCCGGATCCGCAGGGTAATGACTCACCAGCTGCTGTTCCAGGGGAGGGACCGCATCGTGATGGCCGTAGATTATGCCAGGATTGTACTGGCTGAAAAGGACTGGGTAAAACACCTTCTTCCCTGCAAACCAGAAAACAAGCATTTGCTTAAAGGGACAGATTCATTGACATTCAGCCTCTGGGACGTCCCGGATATCTGCGCCCACTTTTCTTTTTTCTCTTCTCTCAACTCTAAACAGATCTGACAAGCACAGCCCAGGTAGACCTGTCAATCAGATGCTCAAACATTTCTGCCCTCCTAGAGCAGGGATAATGTTCAGGATCTCCACAGCCTGTGGCTCTGGCTCTGGGTACCCACCAAGGAGGTGGATATGGAAAAAGAGTCCTGGTTCCCCTGCTTGGCAAATATTAACCCTTTGATGGCTGGATCCAGGGCATTCTCAAGGATTGCCCGGGGAGCCTGGGGTGACAGGGCAGCAGGGCGTAGAGAGCTCAGAGTAGTTGCTCTTTACCCATGTATAGGAAATACAGGAAATCTTCCCCAAATTAGGAAGAGTTTCTATATTTTAACAACCAATATGGCCATGCCAATAATTCTTAGCTGATTATCAGTCCTGCCCAAGCAAAGTCTATTGAAATAATTTTCATAATGTGGGCTCCTTCTGCTCACCGCCCTTCCTGCCTGTATTTACCCACAGATGTCCTTTTCCCTTTGGATTGGGAAAGGACTTTCTCACCACACCTTCCCCTGTGATGGCCACTAAGGCTGACCTCCCAGTAGAACATGGATACGGGGTTACACAAACCAACTCTGGACTCAATCCCAGAATTACGGTGTCTGCCCAGGCCTGCCATGTGGCACCCAAGAAGAGACCAAGCCAGATGACTGTCCCTTTCTGTGTCCCTGGGGTAAAATGAGCCTGGTGAGGCAGGACATCAGAGTGAGCTGCAGAGCATGACATCTGGGGCAGAGGGCACACCTGGCTGTGTGTTCAGCCTGCACGTGTTGAGGAATTCAGAGGTGAAGTAGATGTCCACGTCACAGAAAAACAGAAGGACGTTGCTTCCCTTCCAGAAGCGGGCTCCCACATCCAGTCCCTTTCCCCGGGAAAACTCTCCATTCAGCTGGATGAAGGTGAAGTTCCTGAAGTTGGCAGCTCTGGAAGGGAAGGTGAAGAGACAATCAGGGACAGACGTTCCCACGCCCCGTCTTTCCCGCAGGCTGACAGAATTCCCAGGGGGAAAAACATGGCCAGGACCATGCACCTCTGACCCTGTTTCTTCTGTAACCCGAAGGGTGCAGGGAGGGGCCACCCAGGCAGGTACTGGGACGGAGAGGACCGAGAACACCTAGCAAACTTTTAACTTGGTTTTTTCCCCCTCTCTTGTGTGTCTGGCAATTTCCCCACGTTGAAAACTGTGCTGTCATCACTAGGGACGATTTTTTTTTGGTGAAGGAGAAAGCCTGAACCAGCGAAACTACAGACACGCCCCACGGGAAATCTCCATGCTTCCTCAGTCACCCAAGTGAATCTACTGAGCCGAGGAAATTAAATTACCATGGAACGGGCCCCTCCTGGCATCTTCTCATCTGCATTTAAATCCAGGAGCTAGGCAAAATCTTCTTGATGTGTATCTGTCCCCAAACAGACTGAAACTTGGATTCCTTCCCCACCCTCAGGTAAAGCAGCAGAGGATGGCGGGAAAACAATCGCCTCTTGGAGTCAGAAGACTGGGACGGCCTCAGACCTCCGGCACATGAGCTCTGAGAGGCAGGCAAGCCTTGAACCTCGGTTGCCTCATCTGCAAAGTGGGAATAATAACACCTCCCTTGACTGTCTCACAGAGTTATTAGTTATCAGATGAATGGTGCCCAGAGCACAAGGCACTCTGGAAGCAGCGCTGTCATTAGCTCCCGAGGATTCCCAGGCCCAGGTGGGGAAGCCAAGGTGGTTCTTCAGTTTGCTGCTCTTATCCAGGCACAGGAGAACCTTTGGAAGAGGCATATGTCGAGCTAAACAGAATTCACCATTCAGTGTAGAGCAGGACAGGGCCCGCCCCCCTCCAGGAAGGAGGGGCCCACCTTCCAGTTCCTGTGTGCGCAGGGCCTGGCGTTTGGCGGGTCCCCCTCTTTGTGCCAACACCACCCCTTCTTTCATAATGGATTCCCCTTCCCCAACTCCTCACCCTCCTTACCAGGCCCACCATTCCCCAACTTCTCTCTAATCTTAACAGAGTTAAAAGTTATGGAAGCCAAGTTCCATTTTTTAAAAAAGTCTCTATTTGAAGTCACTCTCCTGGTTAAAGGTCAACACAAATACAGAGTCATAAGCGCGCTTCCGGTGCTCAGTTGTACTCATATCTGGTCATCTTATCAGTGAAACCAGTTCTGCCTCTCCTTCTTGGAGTTACCATCTTCTTTCAGATCTGAGCGGGGCTTGGATTTTTATCTCAGGAATCTGTGGGCCCAGCCTTGTCTGAGTCTGATGCCAGACACGGCATTTCAGATTGAGATCGGGGCAGAAGGCCTCATGGTGGAAAGAGCCCTTCTCTGTGAGTCAGGAAACCTGGATCCAGGGCCTGGAGCCGTGCCTGGTTCCCACCTGACGTTCAACAGACATCTGTGAATAAGCGTGTGGATATATAAATGGTTCTGAGCCCCGATCTGCCTCTAATTTATTAAAGGCCAGTCACTTCGTCTTTCTTTCCTCAGTTTCCTTATTACAAAATCCAGCAGGTGCAGAGCTGCAAGGTCCCTTTAGCCTCCAAGTTTTCTTTTTCCTTAATTCTGCATTCACTGCAGCCCTGCTCTACGTTTGAGGGACTCTCCTCCTCTTAGGACTTTATTTGTAACCTTTTATCTGGATACGGGACCTCAGTCCATATTTTCTGTGAGTAGCACCGTAGTTGGGCTCCACAGCCTTCTCAGTATTAGGTCTAGCTGTTAAGGACAGAGCCACATCCCTGTCTTCAAAGACACACGGGCGGTGTGAAGGCCTGGCTGCCAGCTTCATGTCTGCTGGGTTTCTACCGCCCCAGCTTCCAGAAGTCAGCACAACCAACTTCCAGGGAAGACTGGATTTTCATCTGTTCCTCTAAGAGAGTGTCCAGCCAGGTCTGGAAATTGCTTTTTGTCCAGCCTGGGGCCTGTCTGGCTTTAGCATCCTGTAATAGGTCTTTTTTTTTTTTTTCATTTGTTTCTAAGTTTATGCTCTTTGGAACTTCTGCTCCCTTAACTTCAGGGAGGTCTGGTAGCTAATCTGCAGAGCAGAGAACACTGACATTTTCAAACACAATGAATGAGCTCATAATTCAAATACCTCCTCCAGGAGCATTTATAGAATCTGTCACAAGAGATTTCAAATACAAAAAAATGCATTTTATTTGAATGATAGCAAGCAACTTTTGCAAAGGCAAGAGGCATGTTGCTCCTTCATTTGCTGCATTTAGCCCCATGTGGAGGCTCACACCTGTAATCCCATCGACTTGAGAAGCTAAGGTAGGAGGATCGCAAGTTCGAGGCCAGCCTTAGCAACTTAGTGAGGCCCTAAATCGAGACCCTGTCTCAGAATAAAACAAATAAATAAATAAAAGGGTTGGGGTTATAGCTTAGTGGCAAAGCACCCCTGGGTTCTATCCCTGATATCAATCATTCAATCAATAATTTTTATCAATTAATCAATCAATCAATAAGCTGCATTAAAAGAACCGCAGCATCAGGATTTCCCTCCCTAAACAGTCTACAGTCCATGTGTACCGATGTGTCACATATTTGGGGGCAGTTAAATCACATTAAACAATGAAGACGACAAGGCAACATTTGAAAATGAGCTCACAGTGCTAAAGACACAACCAGCCTGTGGGTGACAGAGAGGAAAATGAACAGTAGACGGCTGAGTGCCACCAAGTTCGAGTAGGGACTGGTGACCTGGTGTAGATGCTCACCCAACACATAAATCAACATGGCTTCTTCTGCACAAAAGTTCCCCAAACTCTGGCTCGAGCTGCTGCTAATAAACGCTGCTCTCTACTCTCTGCTCCATGGTAGCAAAAGGATCCAGGACTTGCAGGACAATCACAATCATAGTGACTGGGAAAGGGAAGGGAGAATTCATGGCACCTAAGATTTGAATGGCCTTAATTAATTAAAAACTTTTTTTTTTTTTAACATCAACCTCTGTGCTTCAATCTACTGCTTCCAGAGAAAGAGAATTCAGGGAAGTGGGTGCTGGGGAGCCCTTGCTCTGGCCCAACCAAAAGGCACTTTGCTTCCTTTCTGTCCAGTCCATCTCTCTACGAGGATGAGACAACCCGTGTTATTTTCGTGGCATGGCCCATTCCGAATGTGCATTTTAATCCACTCTCTGGAGTGCATATCGACTGCAGCGCCCTCCGTCAGGACAGATATGAAATGGGACAGCCCCAGGACAGGCCCCCTCTGTCCCATGAACTGTTTCCCCGGGGACTTGTGAGGCCAGTGTGCACGTGGCACTGGCAGCCTCTGCCCATCCCCTGTGCCTGCAGTGCTCTGTGCCCTGGGCTCTGCTCGGCCCCCTCAACCACCCCACGCAACGTGGCCAGGTCGCAGAGTGACACATGATTGCTGGCCTGGCAGCCTGGATGTGTGCTGGCTCCTGTCTGAAGCCCTGACAACTCACCAAGCCCTGACTGGGAGGCCGGATGAAAGCGCACACAGGAGGCAGGGTGTGGACAGAGTCATCGCTGGCGTGGGAAGCACTGCAAGCCAGTCACAGGTGCTGGAAAGGCCCCCGAGGGCTAGCTCCGTGTGAGCCACATGACTGTCAGGCCATCAGGCCTCTGGACCCTACTGGGGATAATGGCACGAGTTTCCCTTGTGCTTCCTCAACCCATGCTGCTTCTAACTAGCCAATAACCTGCAGGAGCCACTCCTTGCCATTGGGCCAGGCCCCTGATATTTATCAAACACTCTTGAAGAAAGAGGGCTGAGCTGGGAACAGAAGGTGAATAATCAGAGGAGCTCAACTTCCTTTGTTTCCCAGAGCAGAGAGATAAATACATCCTCAAACCTTCTGGCCTGGAAGTGGGACCCCTCCTCAAACTTAGCTCTAGTCGTGGGCCTCTGAGACACAGCTGCAACAGGATGGGGAGGAGGTGGCTCCTGCCCGTCAGTGGGGCCCGTGATCTTCATCTAGACACGCTGCTCATCAGGTGGGGGACTGCCTCTCTAGACCAGAGCGCTCCCTGCTCGACAGGGTATTAACAGGCATGCCAAAGCAGTGACACATTTCAGCTCAAAACACTGATGTGTCCAAGCAAGGGTGGTGGAGTGGGTTTGGGGATGAGCACAACACAGCCCTGAGGCTACACTCCCAGTGCAGACCGTCATGGTTCTGATGTAGGCACTGTACCCTGGTCTTCTGTTCCCCCAACCACAGGGACCAGTCAGGAGTAGATAGAGGCTCACCATAGACCAGTTGCCAAGGAGTGGGCCTGGCTGGGCCTCCTGTCCTTGCTCCGTGTTCCCTCCCCGCAACAGGCTTTTTCACCTACTCCCGTGACAATCACACGCATCTCCAAGGCCCACATCAGGAGTCACCACCTCTCTCAGACCTCACTGCAACTGAAGTGCCCTCTCCCCGCCCACAGGCCTTTTGCCCACCCCCCCACCCCCCCTTGTGTCTTGCTGCCTTCTTGTGCCTTTGCTTGTAGGAGAACGTCTGGGATGCTCTCGGCTCCAAACCCTTCCAGGGCACCAACGGCCTCATTTCCTATTTTCCCCATCTTCAGAGATTACCCAGCACCATGTAGTTAATGGCACACACAGGGACACGGGGGATGAGCCATAAACACTGGGCGAACAAAAAGATGAGCACCAGGAAAATACCAAGGCACATTTCAGATCTGTCTGGAAGGAGGTGCCTACCTCTTCCCAGGAAAGTGCACACGACTCAGGGGGCTACCAGAGTCCCCTACATTTTGTACAAGCCCACAACCCACATCAGAAAGATGCTGTGGTCAATGGCTTCTGCAGGACAGGCCCAAACGCTAGCTCTAAGAAGATGGAAAATATGGAAGCAACAGAAAAACAGAGCTGAGAAAGCTAAGATACCATTTGGTTCCAAATATTTTAATTTACTCATAAAGAAATGTCATATTTAGTGACATACCTATTGCAGT